CAAACCGCCGTTAAGATCCGGATGGACTGCGAGTTGCTTGATCAACTCGAGGCCAAGGCCACGGGAGCTTCCGGTAACGAGAACATTCGGCGACCAAGATCACAACTCTTGCTGGGGTTGCGAAGCTGCATGGTAAGCGGAAGCTCTTATGCTTCATTCTAGAGGGTGTTACTCATATAGCTTGCTGTACAGAGAAAGCGGGCATGGTCAAGGGCACAATGAAATAACTCTGGAAGCCGTTACTGCTCCGGGAGATTTCTAAGGAGACTGTCATCAGGCCGATCAAATAGTCCGAGAAAATCCGCGGAATCGATTTCTCATTCGGAGACCGCACCTATCTTATTTTCGAACTACTAAGCTCAGTAAATGAAAACTCTTGTGAAAGGTCGGAATATCGGTACATCGGATGAATTGACATCTCCCTTTGACGTATTGCGATCCGCTGGGGGGCATTTCGAGCTGTGCCTGGTAACGACCCAGTGGTGGAAAACATATTTTACTGCTCGGAACCGGATACTATCCTGCGGGTACCAGCCCCTCTAAAGAAAGGCTGGCTCGAGATCTCGCTACTCAAGCTCCCGCTAGCGTATTGGGAGGCGATGCAGAAATTCATATCATGCCAAATGGGTAAGAGCATTACCATGATCCAGCACAGGTATGTGTGTTGATGATTTTCTTGTGCCTGTCCCTCTTCTCACACTGGGTTATAGACCTGGGGGCCTCATCTCGCTAGATTGCAGAACTTACGGAGGCGGTACGATCCATGTGGAAGATTCAAGGGGGGTATTAACCTATGAAATGACCCAGCATAGTGGCTTTCCTGGTGACTGGGAGTAATAACACATTATGGTGAATAATGTCGAAGGTTTTGCGCGCTGCGTCTGCTGGTGAATGGATGTAGGGCTTAACCACCCACCCTCGCACGGTGTATGTAGGCCTCATAGATAGCTTCAGGCCTTAAACCAACCAGAGTGATGGCTGTAGGCCGCTTTTCATTCGTATAAAGTCTTGATAAATAATACCGGATCCCTAAAGACCTCGAATCTCCTATAAAATAATTCCATATGCTGCATATAGGTCATTGCTTCCGATAAGTTGGTACATACGACCACAGGGTGTGGAGAACAGGGCTTCCCGTCCGCTCAGCCGTACTTAAGCCACACGCCGGGAGGTTAGTAGTTGGGTGGGTGACCACCAGCGAATCCCTTCTGTTGTATGTTTTTGTTTTTTTTTTCTTGCTGGCCTATAAGATTTGGATGAGGAGGATTTCGATGAGGAAGATGATGAGGAAAATAGAATGCCCGATCCTCAGCGCAGTACCGGTCCAAATAAAACCAAAACACGAAAGTCCCCATCGCTCACGTATCTATTAAGGATCAGGGGTCGTGACACAGCCAAGGGTAGGCTTGCTTGGGCGGAAACCAGTGGCACCATTAAGTTTGAAAATCAGGACTTCTCCAGGATTGTGGGAGAGGCTGAGTTGACTTTCGTTGGTGATGTTTTTTTTACTACGCGGAAGGTGTTTGATGCACCATGTACATGTCCGGAGGAATGGGTCGATTGTCTATCAATGACGGTAGTTCCAGCTGCCGCATCTGCTGTTGTTACCGCCACGCTGCAGAAAGTGACAAAGATAATGGACTAGAACTAGTTATGGTTGGAATGAAGCATATAGAACTCTGTGATAGGACTGGGATAAGTACAAAGGGGAATTTTCATATCCTCGTATTCATGCCTTTGGTGAGCGCATTTTCAGGGTTGGTTGAAAGAAAATAGGCGAACAAAAATGGATAGTTTCCAACGCCAAGTAACAGCTGTCACTCACTCTTGATCATCCCTTTAGCCTTGAATTTATTCAACATATCGAAGCCAGACATTTCAGCCATAGTAGCGGGGAATGGCGATTGGCGGTCGCGGAACGCGGCAACAGGCAGAATAATGATTCCGACCATGGAAGCAATCAAAGCAGGCACGCTATAAATCCAATCCGATAGGCTGACTAGTCCATTTTGCTGCACATACACAATGTAGTATATTCCAATCGGCATATGCAACAGAAGCGCTGTAGCAAGACCAGGATTATAGGCAGTATTTGCCTTAATATTCATAGTCGGACCGTGGCCTATGACCTGCATTAATCCGAAATATGACTGTGCCAGACCCAGCCAAATATGATGCGGGAAGGAGACTGCGCTCAGGTAAAAGGGGTATGCGAGGGTATTGACCCAGACCATACTCCGCTTGTTGCCTGGAAAACGGTCATAGTCTTTCTTCTCCCCATGCAGAGCCACGTTGATGATGAGCGGTGCTCCACTGGGCAAAATGTATTCCTCAATCTGGTGGGCACAGAGCGCCAGTGTGTTATAGATTAAAATGACCTGGATGCGGCTGAAGAAGTCGCCGAAAAATCCCATGAAGAAAGATCCCGCGACGAAGAAAACAGCCGTGAAATAGTACCAGTTGTCGCGGTAGTAGTCCATCCAAACACCTGGCCACCATGCCGTGCTATTAAATCGATCCATCTCCTCTTTGGTGAACGGGTATTTGCTATTCTTGCTGCTCATCATGTCAATGCCGATGTAGAAAAAGCTAAGCCAGTAGTTCCCAGCGGCAAATAGGACTGCAAGAACCCAGTCTGTTGGACTGATCAGATTGTTGGCGTATGCGTGTCTGAGATAAATTATGCCAATGGGCGTAAAGCCGAACACTGAGGTGGCAAGGCCGGGGTTGTAGGGGCTGCCAGCAAGGAATGAGAAAAGAAGACCATGAACCACGAGCTCGACAAGTCCGAAAGCCATCGGGCATAGCGTCAACCACGTAGCTTTCGGAAAGAAAATCGGCGATAGGTAAACAATATAGTTGAACCAGTTGTTTCCAAATGCAGAAATCCGCTGATCGAGCGGGTAATGTGAGGGACGGTCGCTTTTCATGCGCTTGATGTTAGTCAGTCCAGGGAAGCCCCCTGGAGAGCCAAACTCCTCCCACTGATGAAGGTTCATCGCTCCAAAATCGGCGATTACGCATCGCTGCACGAGGTCCAAGCGAGGCCAGTAAGCCGTGAGAATGCTGAATGTGAACGCTCCCACGGCTGCGTTGATGTGGTACCAGATGGCCCAGAACCAATTCATGTTGAACGACCAACCGGTGTAGGTGAGTTGAATCTGAGGTTTGCAGTTAAAAGTGACAGAAAGATATTCGTCTTGACAGAAAATAATGATGTCTTAAAATGCTTTGAATGCATCGGCGTATCGGTGAGTCGGTCTGCGCGGTACCGATGTTGGTCTTGACACCAAAGCCCTAACACGTCTGGAGACTTGCCATACAGGGTAGCGTCATGTGAGAGGCGGCAGTGTGGAATGACGTCATACGAAGCCGGCGGGCCGCCTCCCGACCGACATACCAACAAGCACGCCTCCTCGCGACCTGAAACACGGACGTTGTCTATATATGTTCAGTCGGTGGGCAAGTCTAAGTGGCCGGATCCTGAGTGCAGACTTCTTTCTAAGGCCATAAGGCCTTTTTCTTTTGCGGCGAAAAATAAAATGAGGAGCCCAGGATTCTTTTTCTCTTCGCGCTTCAGCTCCCACTCGGCCAAGCCCTTCTATTATCGTGGTCATTTCCCTACAAAGGCAAACCAGCCCTGTTTTCACTTTCATCGCCTTCATACATTCCCGGCTACTGCAATAAACCCAAATATATCGACAATGGATACCCCTCGTGTCTTAGACGAGCCTATCGAGGATGTGGAACGAATGTAGTATTATCAGCCAGGCGGCTATCACCCGGTGAAAATTGGCGATCGTTTTCACCATCGTTATCGGGTCGTCCACAAGCTTGGCCACGGAACATACTCCACGATTTGGCTTGCGCGAGACAAGAGATCCAACAAATATGTTGCAGTCAAGGTCTGTACGGCAGATGCGAATCCCCTCGAGATGGGCGTGCTTTCCCAACTGTCAAAGGCGCAGTTGCCAGCAGACCCGGGCAGAAGTATGATTCCTTTAATTGGGGATACATTCAACATTCAGAGTCCAAATGGCAATCACGTCTGTCTAGTAACTAGTCCGGCTAGAATGAGCCTCTCAAATGCAAAAAATGGATCATGGATCAGCCTGTTCCAGCTCGAGGTGGCCCGAGCGTTAGCCGCTCAACTCGTCATTGCGGTCCGATTTATGCATTCCCAAGGCTTTGTGCATGGAGATCTTCATCGTGGAAACGTACTTCTTCAGTTGTCTTGGAAGTTCGATCGGTTGTCTACTGAAGAGCTATATGAGCAGTATGGGGAACCTGTACTTGAGCCGGTCAATCGAGTAGATGGTCAGCAGATCCCGCTAGGGGTTCCACAACATGGCATATCCCCGATCTGGCTTGGAGATGCAAGCGAGAACATCACACTTCCTGAAGCCAGGATCCTTCTTTCAGACTTCGGCAAAACATTCTCACCAACACAGGAGGATCAATTCGAATCTCATACACCGCTTCTAATCCGCCCCCCAGAGGCTCGATTTGAGCCATCCAACCCTCTTTCATTTCCGTCTGACATCTGGACCCTAGCCTGCACTATCTTTGACGTCATAGCCCAAAAGTCGCTATTCGAAGGGTCCTTTACAAACGACACCGACATGACGTGCCAGCAGATCGATACCCTTGGCAGGTTACCAGATGAATGGTGGGGGAAATGGGAGGCGCGCGAAGAAAAGCTCATCGAGGATGGCGAGACTCGATCCCGTTACCCATCATTAGAAGATCGCTTTGAGAAAAGCGTTCAGCAAGCGCGTACAAGGAAGGGTATGCCCGGTATTCAATCCAGCGAACAGGAAGCTCTTCTCTCAATGTTGCGCCGAATGCTTTCCTTCAGACCAGAAGATCGACCATCTGCAAAGCAGATTCTCGAGTCGGAATTGATGGTGAAATGGGCTCTTCCCGAGTATGCGAAGATTAAGGAATGCTCGGGCATAGGTGCTACATAGACTTTTTAAGTTCTCAACTTTCATCATAATGGGCCTATGGCGCAATTGGTAGCGCGTAGTAAGTTCCTCTGAAATATCTACTCTCGGCCCAAACGTATTCTAACCACTTCAACAGCGACTCCAGATCGTAAGGTTGCCTGATCGAGCCGGGCTGGGCTCATCCCATCTTTTTTTTTCTTGCAACGGAGTCTGTTCTAGATAGCGCTGGTCGCATTTTGGAGTGGTAAGAGGTAAACACGCAACTTTACATCTCTGAGAAGGGGGAATATACCCGAATACGCTGGAACGGAAGATGGCTTTGGAAATAATTGTATTTTTTTTCTTGCAATCATTAACACCTCTGGAGCGACAAATTATTAAAAATCAGTCACTTGGAGAAAAAAATTATTGTATCTCTTCTATCCAAAGTTTAATCTGTTTTTCTGTCAAAGTTAAAGGTTTCTTCGGAGTAGAGAATCCGCCTAGCATATCGGCCCGTAAGACACGCGGAAAGGGCGTGGATACTACTACCATGCTACTAGGAGACGAAAGAGAAGACTTTATTTGTTTTGCAAAGTCTAGAAAACCGAAAGAAATAGAATGTCGATTTAATGAATGCAAGTAATTTCAAAATTCGCTCATAATCTGCGCCAGTGCGTATGCTGTAAACCCATAACGGCCATAGAAATGCTTGACTAACGATTTTTTGGTCCTGTTTTCCGACATTGTTTCGTATTTCCTGATAAAAGAATAAAGAGAAAGGAGATTTGATCAGAAAATGACATAATTGAAATAAACATTAGGAAAGTCGTGAGCTCGTGAGTCGTTCCTCTTTCCGCAAATCGAATCGAGGTGTTTTAGACGTGTTCTCCTTAGAAAAGAACCAAAATTTCCCCTTCATCTAAACCATCTGCGGTTCACCTTCTCCCCCTCCGCTTCAAAAGACTCTCAGCCTCTCGCCGTCGATACCTTTCACTGCGCGCCATCGCCTCCGCATCTTCGGCATCCTGATCGGCGTCCTTCGCATCCTGCACAGCCTGCGCCAGCTGTCTCTCAAGATGATGAACCCTAGCCTTATACTTCTCCTTCTCAGCCTGCAGCTGCGAAACCTCTCCCTGGGCCTTGTCATGAGACTTCAGAGTTTCCGCAAGATAAACATGCGCATCACTCTTCCCCGCCGCCCTTGGGACGAGAGCCATCTCCAACGAATCTTTCGACAACTCATCACCACTCCGATTTTTCAACTTTTTCATGTGCTCATCCAGCTGGGAGAGAAGCATCTCTAGTTCGCTTTCCAGCGACGTCGGCTTTGGTGGCCGTCTCTCTTTCTTAACCCGTGCATCAACATCGCGGAGTCTGGTGAGTAGCACCTTCTCTCGGGTCGCGGCCTCCTCTAGCGCCCTGTCGCGCTTCCAGATCTCCATGTCTTTGTGTTGAAGCGCATGGCATGCATTGTTCAGCTGGTCTTGGAGGATCATCACGTCTTTCATTAACCCGCGCACTTCATCGTGGCGTTTCACCCGCACGGTTTCGACGGCCCGGTTCCAGATTTCCGGCAACGTTTCGCCGAGGTCAAGGGCTGCGCGAAGGCGGGTTTCCGTGCTCTCTTCGAGGTCGCTCATTGTGGTTGTGGTTGTGGTGGGAGTGGTTGGTTAGGTGGGTGGTTGTTGTCGTTGGCTGAGGGGGTAGCGAGCGGGAGCGGCCGAGTCCGTCCTTTGAAGGTAAACAGTTGGCGTTTACTTGGTCCGGGATAGTTGCAGAACAGGATTCAAGCTGCCCCGCATTCGGTGATCTGTCAACGGCTGCCAAGAGGCAGGGATGGCCCGGTAAGAGTGGGTGTCCAATGGTTTGGGCGTCATTTGTCGAGGATTGTCGTTTGTGTGTACTGTCACATTGTGAGTGGTGGCTCAAATGCAGGTAGTGATGTGGAGTGATGCGATAGGGAGGTGCTGCGCACACACCCGGTTTGCCACCCACGCAATATCTGATCTGTCAGTATGGAAAGCGGACAGCGCAGTGTGGTGCGTAGATAACGGGCGCGGTGTGCTGCGGGTAGCACGCCAGCTGGGGGTGTGCCGGCTTCCTATATTTTACTCTAGAACCCTCTCTTGACGATAGAGCAATATCTCCAATAGTTTTATTGACCAACACGTCTTGAAAATTTTCTATTGCCTTCATCAATGTGCAGTGCCTTACGGTTGTATTAATATACAATAAGTGAGAACCATGTCAGATTGCTAACAGAGAATTTGAGATCAGCCTGGTAGGGTTATCGTGATAGTCAGTACGTCGAACCCCTCCCAAGTCGATAGACTACTCTACAATCCACTGGATATGTATATATGCTAACCCATCCGCATCCTACGGAATGTAGAGATCATTCGCATTATCCTAGAAATCATGCGTCTGTCATGGTCTCTCCGATTCCAACCGCCTCCAAATCAGGTGTTGATCCCCTGTAGCGTTGACAATTCCACGAATCCCTACTCCTCGCGTGATTGAAACCCATCAACTAGAACATGTAGCTCTGTATCTTCGCATCCCCGGGTTCTTCCACAGAATCTGAACTCAAACGATTCCCTGGTGATGCATAGAAGATGACGAGCCACCTCTGCGCGCACAGGGGGCATTGGAAGCTCGTCGTAGATAGATTGGGTGTCATCATCGTGGTCGTCATCGATCTCACTGAGCTCATCCATACGGTATGGTTTGTAATTGATGTCACGGGAATTAGAGGCGTCGTCTAATTCCCCATTCAAGAATGGAATTGCAGACTCAAAATCGTCGTCAGCAATAGACCTTGACTGTGAAGACCTGGCTCCCCTGCTCGTATTATTCTCCGAGTGCCCTTCTTTGAAGACCGCGTTTGATGTATCAACATCGTCTGTTAGATTTAGAGCTGCGACTGGTTCGCTGATATCGTGTGCGAGGAGCCAGTGAAAGAATTTCATCTCCGTTAGGCGAGCTGGTGTTAAAAACTCCGATTCGACCAGGTGAAGGGTCTGCAGCTTGTTTTTGAAGCACCAGGGAAGTAAGTCGTCCTCAAGATGCTTCTTCGTTACCGAGAAGTTATCCAGAACGAGCTTTCTGAGGACTGGAAATTGGGCCTGGAGCATATCGGGGTGAAACTCGACCGTCTCGTATACCCGTACCTCAGTTGTCTGGAGGCTTTCTGTGTGGAAGTACCGATGCCAGTTTCTGAGCTCGTAAGCATCCATTTTACTGTCCAATGATAAGCACAGATGCCTGAAAGATCTCGACTGGTAATAGAGCAAGTTGCGGCGTAAGAATGGCACGAGATCAATCCCTCTGAATAGTTGATCGGAGACCTCGGGAGGGAGATTAATACATGAACTCAATGTTTGGGACGCTTCGATGGAATAAGAGAGGATTGGGATGGGAAATGTACTAAATGCTTCTAGCAGGAGAATTGGAGCCCGGTCTGATCTATATTGAATGGCCTTGAGAAAGTCCCGCATAGGCTCCACGTCCGGCTGGACCAACATCGCGCGCAGTTGATCAAGGCTCGATGAACTAGTAATTTCTTGTGCTTCGTGTTGAGAGGGATATCGATCGTGTAATACAGGCTGCATTTGCAGTTTGTGCCACTTGCGCATGGCCGGGGATTCCAGTGGCTGGCTCTGTGGCCGCGTTGGGTGGATGTAGCTGACTGGAGGGATGCATGTAGTGAGTGTATGCGATGGGCCATGGACTAAGACAACCCATCGGGACATCAAGCTCACAAATATGACTTTCTTTAGTCCCGATAGTTGTGGTAGCACCTGTACCAGAATCTTGAAATCATAACCCTCCTCACTTATTTTGTGATAGTCTTCAATAATTTGTCGCTTAACATCTTGGTTCACCAGAGGGTTAGAACAATCGAATTCCCATCCGTTTATTCCAATGGAGACATCCCAAACCAGCTCCCGCACACAGGGCGCAATCCGGGGATTTCGAGATATGCAATAGAGTACTTCTAGGTCTGTTCGATTTGCGGATACATAGACGCGGTTGAACAGAGAGCAGAGACGCGACACGACCAAATCATCGAGCTTTTTGCCTGTAAGACGAAGGCGCTTGAGAGAGCGGCGATCAAGGCCATTGTAAATAATTCCAGCACATTCAGGCAGCTGTAAAATGGCCAGAATTCCAGGTTGAGTATCCATGATGGATGCTGAAGCTCGGAGCTACGCCCACGGGAGGACGCCGTTTATACGGTCGAGGACACCGTGTCGAACCAGGAAGGTACTTAATTCAGGCAGCAGTCACACTGAATGGCGAATTCGAGGTCTGTCTTGATCAACACAACCGGGGAATATGAAGCACATGAGCGGTTTGTCGACTATATTCAAGGGGCCATGTAGAGTGTAGGTACCCTTCTTCCCGCAGATAGGTGACTAAGTTGCCCATTCTAAGAAGCGTGGCGATGATCAAAGCCTCAAGCTTTGATCCGGGTAGCAAAGTCTATTTTTAGAAAATAGGGTGCTGCTACAGCCACACCCAACTCTCTACTCCAACACCCCACACTGCACATGCTATTCACACACCCCGGTGTACCAATCCCACATTATTTCAATCAATCTCCCTCGATCTTCAAAATTAAGCCTCCATCTTCTAAACTAGAGGTACCTACCCAATGAATGGTATGCCATACGACATTTTATTGCCACCCAGTGCCTGCAACAGTCTGTCTGCGGGGAACCAACATGCCCAGACTAGGCAAACGTTAATTCTGCCATATTGGCATCCAAATTAGGAAGGCAGAAGTCAAAACAGTCAGCTTCCGGGTAATATTCCCGGAACTATGAAAATTGAAATGTCATGTTCACCCGACTGCCAGCCATCCAGCCTCCACTGGGGATGAATAGAACGACCGGGCGGTGATTATTTTTTGAATAATCAGCACCTATACGCACATTTCATTAAATGCTGCTCTTGCTGAATTTTTTCGAGAATATTTCCAGGTAAAATTTGCTTCTATTTTTGTACACTGTACCATCCCAGCGCTAGTACTATTTTCCACCGTAGAATTCTGCCAGTTTTTTTCACTTCTGAGTAAAAGCTTAGATGTTGGGTACTCTCAACGTTGAAGATCTGACAACTCAACCATTCCAATCTGTCGGGTCACACTAGAGCGAATGGGGGGGGGTGACATCATGCATATCCATATGCAGTGAG